TTCTGATATGCTGATTTGGGCTCAGTTATTAATAATGGTTCTTACTTATTATTATCAATGCTGAATAAATATATAAATAGGTTACAGTCTGGGACAATGTTCCCGGTTGCATGAATGTAATAGATGAGATTAGACGTTTGATTTGCGTGTCACTGCACTCACAGTATACGGCGTGATCTTTCAGGGCACACTGTGATGCTTGACTCGAGATGTTCACAATGGATCCTCCACTTCCCCTGGCCTTCATTCCTCTAGCCACGATCTACAATAAATGCACACAACACCATTAAAAGTGTATCTAGCATTTATAAAACTCCTTATGAAATCATCCAGCATAGGTTTGGTCTTCTTACTTGAGCAACATGAAGTGCAGCTTTCACGTTGACATTGAAAGACCTGCGAAAGCAACCACAAATGCACTCCAACCATTTTAAAACACAAATGATAGTGTGTGAGTGATATTTCAAAGCCCTACATGTCAAACTGATCTGGCGTGACTTCCAGGAAGGGCTGAAGTTTAGCGCAGGCTGCATTGTTCACCAGGAGGTCCACCGGACCGACGTCTTTCAGCGCCTGCTCTGTGGCATCCCAGTCTGACAGGTCCACGCATACCGGCTTAATGGAGGGACACTGGCGATCAAAAGCATTAAAGAGATTGTTCATTGTCACAGTCTGGCTGAATGATACCTATAAAGCCTAAAGGAGCAGCAGGCTCTCTTGGGATGCGGAAGAATGCTGATGCATGCTGGGAGACAATAGATCCTTAGGGTTTTGTCTTGGGATGAGTTGGACTGTGACCGAGGGGTCATTACCTCCTGCACTAGGTTATCCAGGTCAGCCTTAGTGCGTGTAACAGCCGTGACCTCTGACCCACAGCGTGCCAGAGCCAGTGCCGTGGCCCGTCCGATCCCTAGGAGGCATTGAGGGAAAGTCAACGATCTGGTGTATCATTACACTCAACAAGACTAATTTGCAAAGTTCAAAGCATGCATACTTATTATGCACATGTGATTATGCACTTTTAAAGGAAGAGCTCACAAAAAATTCAAGACATTTTAAGAATATTATGTACTATGTACAATGTGTAATGTGTAAGTAATTTGCCATGACTTTTACTTAACTTTTTTAATTAAAATCAAAATGTTAACCTGGTCATTTATATGCAGTGATATAACTCACTAAACAGTAATTATTATAAATTAAACAAAACCTTATAGGTTTCTTAATCCTCAATATCACAACATAACAAATTAATAATTTCAGTTTACAACAACTATAAGTATATCGGACTTTATCCACATACATATATAGTAGAATCATGAAAAGCAATATATACAGCAATTTCAACTTCTGGATTACTTGTATCATCGCAAAATGTAACAATATTATCGGCCAGTTCTAATCTGCAAAATTCAACTATAAGGCATGAAGATCATTCTGACTTTTATTCTTGTAATTCTGAGTTAACACCTCTCAATTTATATTTATTTATTTATTTTTTGCCAAGGAATGAAAAATAAACAAGGTAATTGTGACTTTCTTTTTTTTCTCTCTCACAAGTTTCTATCTCAATTCCAACTTTTCTTCTCAGAATTGCAATTTCATATCTGGCAATTTCGAGTTAACATCT